AGAGAGAGAGAGAGAGAGAGAGAGAGAGAGAGAGCTGACTCTTCCATGGCTTCGAGCCAGAGAGGTTTGCCCTTGGCAAGGCCCTTCACAAGCTTCTTGGTTTTGGTGAAGAGGTCGCCCCTCATGAACGACATTTTCCCCACTAAACTGTACTATTTTGAAACAGTAATCTGTTTCGGGCTGAACGCCCCGATTTTATGCTCTCTTAATAATTCAACACAGCCTCGGAAGCTGTTTAACCGTCCTAATCGGTGAACCGGCTAACTCAATCATTCTAAGGGGAAATTTCGATCAAAAAAAGTGTTAAAAAATAAAATCTATTAAAATATAAAAAATGATTAAAATAATACACATTCAAATGAAATTGAAAATTAATAAAAAATAGATTTTTGAATTAAAGTGAGTATTATTGACCAAAACAATTTTAATTTTTACCTTAATATAAAAAATATTAAAAATATATTACAAACCAAATTTTTTATTTTTGAGAATTTATATTTATTTTTTTGAATTTTTTTTTTAAATACCGATTGATCACCAAAACTACTCAAAACCGGAATCCGTCACTGACCGGTTGCGATTTAACCGGGCGGTTAGATCCTCTAGTTTTACCAACAGTAAACATGAAAATCTTGAAAAAAGATGATTTAGATAAATTGTTGCAAGATGTACTATTTTTCAGAAGAGTAATGATACTATGAGACCGTCCTACACCCATATGAGTAAGATTTTAAAAGATCACCATTAAATTTTGACACATATCTCTAGAAAACTCATTCACCCAAGTCTCACATCCATGTCATAAATTTTTTAAAGGCTTGTTTTTAAAATTTAATAGTAATCATTTAGGTTCTACTCACATAGGTGTAGGAGGGTCTTATAATGTCATTTCTCTTTTGGAGAATCATAATATTTATTTTCTTACATATTTATCATACATCTCAATGTCGAGATGATCAATTAGAGAGCTTTTCAACATCAAGCAACATTTTTCAATCGATTTATATGATCAATTAGAAGATTTTTTAACATTAAAATAACATTTTCCAATGGATTTTCAATTGCACCTTAATTCTACATTTTAATATTGAGACCTTATATAAATATTTTTATATTTAAAGTACCTCAAGACAAAAAAGTTGCTACACAGATTTTTTAGAGTGCTCATAGGTATAAAGTGTTTTCTAAATATACTCAATATTCATGCTCATTATTTTTCTTTTGTAAAATAATATTTTTCAATCATGGGGTGTTGTTGGTCATTAAGAGAGATAAACTAGATATTTCTACAAAACACTGTGACATTCTATTAATTGTTAAAAAAACAATTAATGTTAATGTCACACGTTATACTTATAATATCATTATCCTTTATAATTACTACATGTTTTTCTTTCTAGTAAAAAATTATATTTTGCCATTGATTAATTATATACAATACTCATAAAAAAAAATTACTAAATTATGAATAAGCATCCGCAAAATTAGATATATTAAAAAAATACCTTAATATAATATCTATTTAATTTACTTATCAACCTGATCTTATTTTATTTATTTTTAAAATATATGTTTAGGTTATCATTCAAATATTCAAATCGACTCAAACCGAATCTACATCGACGATCCAACATTTCCTCTCCACTCCATGAATCCAAGTTTTGAAATACACGTGCACCCATCTCAAGTACCTCTTTAACGGGTTCCGGGCGGCGTAAATCCGGTTGGTTGCATTTGTTTAGACGCTGCGAATCCGGTTCGATGCACATGACTTGCAGCTCAATAGGCGGGCAGTACTCTAAATTATCTGCACCATTTCCACCGCTGACGATCAGGGTTTTGCATTTTTCTTTCCTATTATTCTCGGAGAACTAGGGTTTCCGGTCTTACTGGCTGCTGCACTTTCCGGTAGTTTCCTCCATGACAAGCCCATGAATTGGGGTTAGAGTTTTCTCTCGTCATAGTTGCAGAAACAGAAGCTTAGGTCTTATGGCTTCCTTGCCTCCTGACAGGTTCGGCCATAGCTGGTTCAGTAGACCTCCTAACCCGCTGCCTGCAAACCCTAACTTTTGCTGGATTTCAACAAACTGGTTCAAGAAGAACGAGCCACCTCAAAAGCCATTAGTGGCCAACAATCGATATAAGGAGAAGCTTGAGAGGTTTCTATGGGAGCAAGAAAACCTACCTGATTACAGGCACGCACCAGAGGTTGAAGAAATTCTCCATGAGGACTCTGTTTTCGACAAGAAAGAGCTCACACCAGAAGAGAAAGCAGATAATGAGAAATGGTGGGATAAGTTCGAGAAGAGCCCGGTTGTCAAATTTCTTGTTCGAGCTGAAGAAATTGCAGATGCCGTTAACGAGATGGAGTTGAAAGAGAATTCAGTTCCTTTTAGGAAGGAGGACCATGATCTATGGAAGGCTTTACCTAATGTTCCCGGGCTTGATGGTAGGCCAATGCCAAGGAAAGCCATTAAAACGGAGAAAGAAGCACATGATAAGTTTTGGGACTTCTGCAAGCAGTTCCTTTTTGGTTTATGGGGCTTTAGGCAAAGGCCTTATCCACCCGGTCGCCCTATTGATGTGGCACAGGCATTCGGGTACAAGAGGCTCGAGAAACGTTATTATGACTGTAAGTATCTATGCGATCTCTAGCTTTTGGTATTGGATTTTCTTTTGGTTTGCTCTGTCTTATTTATTTTTATTTTTAATTTTGTTTTCTTTGGTGTGCTTTTGTGGTTGCTTGTTCTTCTATTTTTATGCATGATTCTGTCGATTTTTAATAGCTTAAAATGTTCTGATATGCAAAGCATGGCTAGGATTTATTAGCTAAGATTAAATTTTTTTTTGAACGTGGCTAACTTTGATTAATAAAAAAGGAGAAATTACAGAACACAAGATGTAAAAATGGCAGCCCACAAAACAGGTGCTCAAGAGTACAAAGGGAGGAAGAGAGTGAATACAAACTAAAAGGAAATAAAAAGATGGAAAGATTCAAAAATAATAATAAAAAAGGCTACAAATGAGGGAAGTTCATAAGAAAATAAGCCCACAGAGTGTAAAGGAATAGCTGTCCGACTTTAAGTGCCAGGGGGTCGAAGATGTTCTGTAAGCTAGATACGTGATACTGTACTTTGAGGGATGGAGGACATGCTGATACCAGTTGTGTGGGAGAGTGAGGTTCCAAGGCCGAGGGAGAGGGAGGCTTGCTAACAGGTAAGGGGGGAGAGAGAGAAGGGAAAAGAGCAAGTGTGAAGGAGGGCCCTGAGTAGGAGAGATTGATAGAGAAGGGGAGGCTAGGCTTATAGAGAGTAGGGGCAACTTAGGGAGATCAGAGAGAAAGCAAGAAGCAAGAAGAGGAGGGCTTAATAGAACTAAGGAAGAGAGATGCTTAGAAAGTAGGGGTAGAGAAGAGGGGGGGGGGCGAGGGGGTAGGATAGAATAAAAGGCGGTGAGAGAAAGAGAACAATAGAGCTAATGAAGAGAGAGGCTTAGAAAGAAGGGTTAGAGAAGAGGGGGTGCGAGGGGGTAGGACAAAATATAAGGGGTGAGAGAAAGAGAATACATTAAAAAAAATAGATTTTCTCTTGAATATAAAAAGCAAAAAATATAGATTTTCTCTTGAACATAAAAGAGGTTTTTTCCGCCTTTTGTTTTTTTCTTTTCTCTTTTCCCAGAAGGACTGCGTTCATGGTCTTCCGTCTTTTAAAACCTAAGACACCGCATTTTTTGGGGGTACAACACTTATCTCAGGAGACTAGGTAGAATTTATGGTCCTCTGTGGTACCGCTCTAGAGAAATTCCTCATCAGTTTCTTAAGTCGAAGGGCCACCAAGAAATGGATTTGAAAAAGGGACATTTGGTAGATAAGAATGTTTGCAAGAGTGGATTTGATGAGAGCAATTATCCCTCCTAATGAGAGAAATCTGCCGTTCTAGTTGGCAAATTTCCAAGTGAATTTTTCAAGGAGGTTATCCTAGAGTTGCTTTCTGGGTTTACTAACGCTGAGAGGGAGGCCCAAATGTATGGAAGGGAGAGAGTCTGTGCCACAACCAAGGTGTTCGACAAGGGATAGCATTTCAACTTCAAGAAGCCTCACGCCCATCCAGAGGTAACTTCGAAACCCTCTCTTTCTTTATATCTTGCCTCTCTCCCTCAACTCCCTCTCTCTCACTCTAATCCTAGAGCCATAGGCATGCTATCAAAGCGGGACTCATTTTCCAGCCATTTTTCACCCGAAGTGGCAGAGAAATCCTAAGATACCTTGATGGAAATTATCTTTCCAGGTGAACCTCATTTTTCACACTGAAAACCCATTTGCTAAAACTAGCAGGGCTGCTCACTTAGCAGCATTGACCTCTTCTGGCCCTGCCCTCATTGAAATGGAGAAAGCTACAATCTTCAACTTCAATCTCACTCTCCCCATCATCGCCATCGTTGGTGAATTACTGCTCCTTATGAACAGTGTGAGAGACACGTCAGAGGTGAAAGAGGAGCAAGCCGCAGCCGTGATGAACATGGCGAGGATGGAAATATCAGGGCCTGGATCAGATGAAGAGGGAGGTGAGTGTGGATTTGGAGGTGAAGATGGCTGGGGCAGAAGAAGGTGGAAACTATAAAGGCCGTTTACTCCGAGATTGCGCCCCTCAGCTTGGAGATTATAAAAAAAAGGTATGGACAAGAAACTACTGGTATCTTGTGACCAATTTGGTGCTTTCTTCTTCCTCTCTCTAACTGGTTCGTGAATGAAGGGTGAGGCTTTGGCAACCAATGGTTGAAGAAATGCACATGGAGTAAATGAGAGAACATGAAAAAAAGGGATTTGATGAAAAACAATCATATTCTCAAGCCTAAAGAGGACTCCTGACCCTGCCTGCCACTGAGCTTCTTGGCCATACCTAAACCCCTATGTAAATTTTAGAGCACCTAATATCTCTCTCTTGATATATACAATTCTCAATGAAAATTGAATGGGTTTAGGTGCCCTTCTTTGTCCCTCCATTAATGGAGACTTGTGAAGACCATGTGTGTTGCTTCATCACACCTGAAAAGTTAAATGGAAAATCTGCCATGGAAATTTAGATCGAACCAGGTTTTTCGTATCAAAGAGCTGTAGATTAGAGAGAGAGAAAAGGGGGGGTTGGGGGAGAGAGACGAGATAGACAGAAAGAGAGTGCAAGGGTTTTGGGGGAGAGAGGGTGTGAGAAAGATAGAGAAGTTCAGGGTGAGAGGATGTGAGAGAGATATAGAGGTGGGCCCATGGGAGGGAGCGGATGTATGAGAGAAAGAAATGAGATAGACGGTGGGTAAAATGAGAGAGAGAGAGAAAGGGTGGGTGTATTTGAGATTTGGGACTTTATTTAGGATAGCAAAATGTTATTAAAAGCATAAAACGGGGATCAACACTGTTGAGGGGGTTGCAAGAAATGTTTTTAAAAACTTTAATGTTGCAAGATAGTTTTCAAAGTTCAGTGAGAAACTGTTCTAAAAAATAGGGTCTAGGGAGATATTTTCTCTTATTAATTTATCAAATAGAGTAAATAAAAAATAATGGAATATCAAAACATGACACATTGTACAAATGAAGAATCAAATTTTCATAAAAGAATACGATCTATGCCCAATTTCATCGTCCAAATGAGGAAAAATTCAATTAATCACAAAAAAAATCAATCCTTCAACTACAAACCTGTAAATATATCATAAAAGAAAAAAAAATGATTCACAACATAATATGTTATAGCAAAAACAAATCAAAACCCTTTTTAAATATCATAATGCTTTAAAATGTTAAAATCAAATCGATGTCGCAAACCTCGTTTATTGGGTCACCAAAAGTCCTCCAAATCGACTACTAGAAACTCAGAAAACACCTTGCCTTTGTTTTGGGAGGAAATCAAAAAAATTGAAAATATATTGATCTATCGATAAATCACAAAAATAGAGGTTTTTGGGGAGTTATTCTCTCTAGATGGTATGGATTTGGTTTTGGGGGTTAGAATGTCCCCCAAAACCCTTTCCCCCTTTTTTAGGGGGGGGAAATTACTAATTTTGACCCTACCCGAGTGCATTTTTCTGCCCTCGGCAACCTACATCGAGGTGGCACCTAGGCACCTTGCTTAAGTTTCGCCTAGTGGAGTTTTAGCAATTTGGCTGCCTAGGAGGCGGGGTGGCTAATTTTTCGAACATTGCTGCGCATAGGCCTATATCTATATGTTTAGCTCCGTTCTATAACAAGAGAAATTTATTTACCCAAAAAAAAAAAAAAGAGAGAAATTTCCTAGATATTCTTTGATGAAATGCTGTGGCATAGATTGAGACAGAACAACAAACTTTGAAACCTATCATTTCAGGGCCCCATACATTAGGAGGGTGGTCCAAGCTTGCTTTTGGCTAGAACACCTTGTAAATGATTTTTCATGTCCATGTAATCTGCATTTCTGATGGATTTGAACGCTTTCTTTCTTATGTTTAACTAAAACTCCAAGGCTTCAATCTCTTCCTTGGGCATCTCTTGTGTGCCCAGAAGCTAGAAGCTTCTGTCAGTACTAAATGGCCTTTTTGTCAACTCGTGATTTCAAATATCAGGTATGGGGAAGAGGTAGTCTCTAGTATCCACAGTTTTACCTTTGCATGATTTTTCCATGCATTGTTCAGGGCACATGTTTCAAAATGTGTTCTATATATGCAGTCGTTAGCTGATTGCTCTCTGTTCCTTAGGCACATCCCTTTTTCAACTTACTGCTTGCATGTGTTTATTGAATTATTCTCCCCTGTTTTCTTTCCTAGCAATAGCCAAATTTCCCTCTTTCATGGGAATATTTGACTAACAAAGCATTCAGAAATTCAAATTTGGACTTGCCCATTGAAGTAGGTGGTTTGACATTGTCCAACTTGAAATTTTGATTACTTGGTTGACTAGGAGAGTTACACTAAGTTTGTGTGTAAGATCAGCTTCTAACTTCTCCACTCATGGTGTCAGAAGTGTGTTTCTATTTTCATATAGTGTTTAAAACTAAAAACCCAAACTTTGATTGGGACCCTCTAGGGTCCTGTGCCCAAGTCAGCCAGTTGGACTCAGTGGAATCTATAGATAAACAATGCAATGAAGGCCCAATAATGTAAGACTCTGAGATTCCCAAGTAGGCTGAGATAGTTTTAAAGACGGTTGAACAAAGGGTGAAAGGCTATCTACCTTTTTCCCAAGAAGTCTCTTAAGTCTCTTTTCAATCCTTGTTTGGTGCATATGTTTCATATGGCGTTCCTTATAACCAGCAGTTCCTTGACCATATTCTTTTTTTCTCCTCTCAACCAGCATGTGTTTCTTGAATTGTTCAAACCTGCTCTCTGTCCTAGCACCTATCTAAACTTTCACTCTCATAGGAGTATTTGACTAATACAAGATTCAAAATTTCAAATTTGCAGTTGCTTGACGAGGAATCAATTCTTGCGAACAAACACCTATTGGGCTAGGTTATTCAGCATTATCCAACCTAAATTGTTTCAAAAAATTTCATCAATCACACGGTTGATGTGGGGAGTCACAGTGACTTTGAATGTAAGATCAGCTTAGGCAATGGCAAGTAGTTTAGATTTTGGAGCAAATAAAGACACTCTAGATGGTGGAAACATCTGAAAGAGATATACATATGTGAAGAACTTCTATGGCTTTCTTTCCTGGTTTGTTCTTATTTCTTTTTTCTTCTATTATTGATGGAAAGGTGGATATGCAAGTGTTAAATGTTACACTGTGTGGCAAGAATGTAAGTGTGTATGGATGCACAAGATAAACTGATAAACCCTTGGCCACGTTTAGCATCAAAGCTGCAGAGGTCATCATTTCCTCCTTGAAAGCATACTTTGCAGAGACGTCTTCAGCTAGAGCCTTTAGGGCATTTAAGACACTGCACAAACCCTCATCTATTTGAGCTTCTGATATCAGAACCTCTGAGAAGTATTTGCTAAAAACAATCAGGTGATATTTTTTCTTCTTCAAAACAGCTGAACCAGAGCAGAGATGGTTCCCATCAAAGCTCACTGTCTCAGGCTATAGCGGCAAGAAAATTCCAGATGAACATAGTTGTGTCAAAAGCTCTTGGGACCTCAAGGCCACATCTTAGCATAGGCAGAAGCTATCAGTTCTGATTTTCTTCAATGTAATGCTTTGAGTTTTTGCTTTTCTTTGTGTTTTCTCCCAAAAGCTGTGTCCATTAATGGAGAAATTTGTGTTTTTGTTTTCTCTGCATGTTATGCTTTTTGTGGTGATTTTGGAGTGATTAATAGTGAACCTTTGAATTTTGGTTTTCTTTTGCTTTTTGCTCTGATTTTGTACCAGTTGTTTGTTTGTCTTTTCTCTGTTCTTTTGCCCTAATCTGGTGGTGGTTTCTTTTTCCATGTTTGCTAATGTCTATCATCTACAATATCTTTCATGGATATTTCTTTGGGGAGTACATCAAAATACTCATAAAATATGAACTATTTAACATTTTACCTATATCATTTGACTTTATTTGAAAATACCCATGAAAAGACACATGATCATGAGTTGGAATAGTTACAAATGTTAAAAATACTCAACAGCCTATCTTTAATGGCTATTAAGATCAGTTTCCCATTTCTTTTTGTAGTGATTCGTGGTGGAACTGCGAATTTTGGTTCTTTTTTTGGCCTTTCTTTCTTTTTTTGATCCTATATTCTAAGTTTGGGATGTTCTTCCTTTGCAAATAGTTATCATGAGGAGTGGCGGTTTCTACTACAAGGATCGGTTAGGTCGCACTAGAGGACCATGTGAGCTAATTCAGCTCAAAACTTCTTGGGCTGCTGGGATAATTGATACAAACACTTTCATATGGGGGGAAGACATGGATGAATGGGCACCAATTGGCATGGTTTATGGCTTGCAACCAGCAATTGCCACATGGGAAGGTTTGGTGACCATTATTTTGTTTTGTGATTTTTTTTTTTCAAAAGTTCTGCAGTTGTGACCACTGACAAATGGATTTGTTTGGAAATTGAGTTGATCTTCTATTTTTATGTTTGCATGGGTTGCTTACCATACATGAAGTTTCTTAAATGGTGGAACCCTCTTCTTTTAAAGAGTTCCATACCTGCAATACATTCACAAATCGTAAAGGAAAGTATGTTACAATTCACTAGCCTATGGCATACTTATTGTCCATTGCGTCATCACCATCCAATAAAATGATGCACTGACATGGACAGAAAGAGGGACCCAGCAGAACTGGACATAATCCCAGAACTGGACATAATCCCAATGGTGGTCTCACTCTTCCATTCCTATTCATCTATCACTTCATTGGACAATGATGTCTCCAGTGTACTATGTTTTGTTGAGTCCATTGGTTTATAGTAGGTGTCCCCATGAAAAAGGAATTTTATACTAGAAATTTGGTTCGAGTTCTTCACTGAGACTGGTTGATTGTATGATATGCTAATCATGCTGTTCTACTTTAAATACTTTTGAATTTCTCTCTGCAGTAAGGCTAGGGGCTGCTGCAACAGCTGCCCTTCATAAAATGGGGAAAGGTATACCTCCCTGGGTTCCCCTTAAGGGATTCGAGAAGAAGTCCTACAAGCAGCTTCAAGATGAAGCCATTGAGAGCAAGAGGCGCGATCTTGCTGTTCTTGAAGCCAATGGAGGGGTATGGCCTGGTGAAAGAATTCCCAGTCATGCCTTGTTTCTTTGGGCCAGTGGATCTGAGCTCACCACTATATTGGAAGAAGACCATATGCCAAACAAATTTATCCCAAAAGATCTCAGGTATGCTTCTTTTGTATTGGGCCTTTGTTTGGTTGTACTAAATCTATGTTGGAATGAGAAAGAGGATTTTTTTCCTTTTTGAGAAATAAAGGAAAAGAGTTTCCATAGTATGCTGCATTTACACTGGTTGCCATGGACTACTCAATGCCTAAGTATTATTCATAACACTTTAATATTGCAACATTTGTATCCTGAATGATTCCCTCCACACAGGAGCATGTCGATCTTACACTTCCATTTTTTTTATAATTAACTGTATTTTATTGATTGGAAGAATTTTGATTTACAAATTGCTATTTAACAATACAAAAAAAAGTAAAATATTTTTTATATATTTTCTAATTTTGTGCTCTATTTTTTAGTACACACGTCTAAAATTTCATTATGATCAAATTTTTAGAAAACATATTAAAATTCATATAGTGATATGTATTTTGAACTACATGATGAAGATTTGATGGCTGAGATTCCACCTATATTACTATTCATTATAGCTGCCCAGCTATTGTTAGCTTTTTCCTATATATATATATATATATATTGGATTGCTATATCTATTTGGTAATAGATATAGTAATTAAAACATAAATACATTCGTAACATTAGGATATCAGAAGTAAAAGAAGCCTTGAAGATGATGAAGATAAGAAAGGATTTAGGACCAGATGGTATTGCGATAGAAGTTTGGAAGTGCATGGGAGAGATTGGCATTTACTGGCTGATCAACTTGTTCAATAAGGTGTTGAGAACAAAGAAAATACTGAACGAATGGAGGAAAAACATTATGGTACCTATTTTCAAGAGCAAATGAGACATATAGCATTGTGCGAACTATCGAGAGATCAAACTTATGCGCCATACTATGAAGCTGTGGGATAGAATGATGGAGCGATAATAAGGCATGAAACGAATGTATCAGAAAACCAATTCAATTTTATGTCAAGGAGGTCAACTATTGAGGTTATTTTCCTACTTAGGCAACTTATTGAGAAGTTTAGGGCGAAGGAAAAAGACCTCCACATAATCTTTATTGATTTAGAAAAAGCTTACATTAGAGTATCTCGAGATTTAATTTGATGGGTGTTGGAAAAGAAAGGAGTCTCCTGATACTATATCGATTTGGTGAGAGATATGAACGAGGGAGCGCTAACTAGTGTGTGGATAACTAATGGACGAGAGTGAGTTTTTAATGACAATAAGTCTACCTCAGGGGACAGCATTGAGCCCATACCTCTTTGTCTTAGATATGGACGACTTAACTAGGCACCTGCAAGATGAGGTACTGTGGTGTATGTTGTTCAACATGGTTTTGATCGATGAGACTTGAAGCAGCATCAACACAAAGTTAGAACTTTGGAGGGATGCTCTAGAATTTAAAGGCTACAAGATGAGGTACTGTGGTGTATGCTTTTCGATATGGTTTTGATCAATGAGACTCGAAGCGGTGTCAACACAAAGTTAGAACTTTGAAGGGATGCTTTAGAATTTAAAGGTTTTAAAATTAGTCGGACTAAAACAAAGTATGTGGAATGGAAGTTTAGTAATAATTGGAGCATAGACAAGGAAGTAGTTAAGATTGATGGCCGAGAAATACCAAAAAGAGCGTACTGTCAATATCTAGGGGTTATAATCCAGGAAAATAGGGGGATTGAGGAAGATGTCGTATGTAGAATTAGAGTTGGGTGGGCAAAGTGGAGATGTGCACTTAGAGTGTTATGTGATTGCCACATATCAATGAAGCTGAAGGGGAAGTCCTATAGGAGAGCTGTGAGACCACCTTTGCTTTATAGGGTGGAATGTTGGGCTGTCAAGTAACAACATATCCATAGGATGAGTGTAGTTGAGATGGATGAGTGGCAATTCAAGAAGGGATAGAGTTCGAAATGATTACATTAGGGAGAACTTAGGTGCTGCTTAAATAGGCAATAAGATGAGAGAAAGTAGATTTAGTTAGGTTGGCCATGTGCAGCGCATACCCATTACAACACCTATTAGGAGGTGCGAATGTTGTTCGCAAAAGCTTTACACCCGATGGGTTGATTTTTGGCAAATAAAATACGAGAAAAATAGAACTAGCAACAAGTAAGCAACGAGCAAGAAAATAAAGCAAGAACAAAATAATAGGAGAAAAAGAACACTAGAATTTATGTGGTTTGTCACAGATGTGACTACACCACTGGCGAAAATGATCAATGTTTTTTCACTAATTCAAAGAAAAAAAATTACAAGGTACTTACTTTAGAGAATCAAAGACACAAAACTCAAATCTCTCACCAAGTCTTCTTCTCTCTATAATTTTCTCTCTCTAAACACCCAAAAGTTTTCCTCTATCTTTCTGGCACTTTTTTTCTCTACAAAGCACTCAAAATAAAGTGAAAAATGAACCCAAAGGGACACCTACATGGTGATCCACTATTTTTTTCTTTTGTTTTTCTATCTAGAATACAACTTAAATATAGAATAGAGAAACACCCAACAAATATATTCGTGAAGGTCCAACTTTTCCTAAGTTTATGGAAAATTAGCTTTATCCTTATCAACTATGGATCCAAAAGCTTATCCGAACCTAAATATGACTCACCCAAACTCCTGTAATTCGGTTAATAACAATCCCAAATTATAGGAATCCCAAAAATAAAGGAAACCATATATTACACAAGATTGTTCTAACGTCAGGTTAGGTCTAGATCCAAATCCAGGTCAGGAAAAGGTAATATTCATTGTTATTGCTGCAAGAAAAAGGGGCATATCAAGAAGTATTGTCAGAAACACAATTCACACAACTTTCAATCTCAATGTATTTCTATGCCCAAAATTTTCTTTGCTGAACGTAAATCTTTGATCTCAAATTATCTAGCAAGCTGAGTCTTCAATTTAGTGATTTCATCTCAAATTCTCTGACAATCCTTTTTGATATGCCCATTTTTCTTGTAGTAATAACAATGAATATTACATTTTCTTGATCTGGATTTGGATCTGGACTTGTTCTGACATTAGATAAATTTTGTATAATATTTGGTTTTCTTTATTTTTGAGATTCCTATTAATATGAGATTGTTATTAACCGAATTATAGGAGTTGATTTGGGTGAGTGCTATTTAGGTTAGGATAGGCTTTTAGGTCGATACTTGATGAGGATAAACTTTTCCATAAAGTTAGGAAAGGTATGGACCCTCACTATCTACTTTTTGGGGGTTTCTCTACTCTATGTTTAAGTAGTACTCTAAAGAGAGAAACATAAGAAAAAGTGGGGGGCCATCACGTGGGTGTTTTTTTGGGTTTATTTTTCTCTTTATTTTGGTTGTTTTGTAGATAGAAAAAGTGCCAGAAAGATAGAGGAAAACTTTTGGGTGTTTAGAGAGAGAAGAATACTTGGTGGGAGATTGAGTTTTGTGTCGCCGGTTCTCTCAAGTAAGTGTCTTGTAATTGTTTTTTCTTTGAATTAGTGGAAAAACATCGACTATCTTTGCCCATAGATGTAGTCACATCTGTGTTGAAGAACGTAAATTTTGTTTTTTTTTTTTCTTGTTATTTCTTTTTTATTTGGTGCCAGATATATTTTTATCGTACTTTATTTGCTAAAAATCAACCCGTTGGGTTTAGAGCTTCTACACACAACAAGAAGTTGGTTCAAGTGGAAGGCTCAAAAAGGGCAAAAGGTAGGCCAAAAAGGACGTGATTAGAAGTAGTGAGAAAATATATGGAGACTTATTTGGGTCATGATTGGAAGTAGTGAGAAAAGATATGAGGACTTATGGCCTTACTGAGGGTATAATTTTTGATAGAGCAGAATGGCGGACCATGATTCATATAGCCGATCCCAAATACTTGGAAAAAGGCTTTGAAAATGATGATGATATCCATTTGGTGATGTGTGCTTTTCTCACTTTCACAGCTTAATTTTTCAGAAAAATGGGTGGTGCTGGCATTTATTGTTCCTCATTTTTGGATTCCTATATCCATTTGCAGATATTCACTTTCACAGATTTCTCATTGAAGGCTTCTTTACAGTCTTCGGCCTTGAACAGACTACACACCGTTAAAATATATTATCATTGGAAGTTTGCATGATTTGTGTCAGTTACTTTCGAAAATTTTAATCACCATGCAAAATGTCATTACTGACTGATTGTTTGTCTCAGGAAACGTTTGCAAGAGATAATCCCTGGATTGAGGCCTTGGGAGGTTCTTAGTATAGAGCAAGCTATGGACCAGATCACTTATGATGGAGGGTGGTATCGCGAGCCATTAGGTTCCTACACTACTGGTCCTCCATACATTAGGCATTGGAACAGAGACGTGAAGGTAACACTATGCTTTCCTTCTCGATTAACCATGAGGTTCTATCCTATATATTCTTAACCATGAGGTTCTATCCTATATATTCTTAACTAAAATTTTGTTATTGAGTATTCTTCTACTCATTATACATAGAAGAAATCATCATTGACTCGTGCGCTTGAGATTTCAGAAAGGCAATGGTATGAATTATGAGTTCTCTTGATGAGAATGATTTATGGTGATTTTGATTTGTTTATGCAGAGAATGTTTAGGCTTTTCCACAACCTCACCAATAGAGTTTACCAAAAGCTTGATCGTGTAATCCCTGGATTCAAAGTGATCATGGATAGGGTTCAGCAAGATGTGAATGAGAAGGACAAAAGGCGTGAGGAAAAGCAATCTCAGAAGAAACGGGGATTTGAGGAAATTATCGAGAAAGGTATATCAGACGTTCCAATTTCGTAACGGTCTTTTATTTTTCACATTTTTGTAAAGAGGACTTGTGGTGTTCACGCTTGAATTCTTGCTGTTCACTTTATCCTCTGTTCTTCATGGTTGAGCCGTTTGTATATTATGCAAGTTAACCTTCCTGCTTATTTCTATTGAATAGTGGAAAAAAGTGAAATTACCGGATTCCTCACAATACATGGCTCCTGTTATCCCAAATAGATGTGGTCAAATTCCTAAAATGGCATTCAAGTTAACATATGGCTATGATTTTCTACAATTAAAAGCTGATTTGGACCCAATATACTACTGAGTTTGTTAAAAGTTGGACCCAATATACTACTGAGATTGTTAAAAGTTATCCATGGCTAATCAGAGTTTGGACCCCTTGTCTGTGAGATTACGTGTGGGTTCCCTCACAAGTTTAAGGATAAACATTGTCGACCATTTGCTCCTTCGGACTGAGCTCTAACAAATTGGTATTTTCCGAGGTTTAATAACAGTTTTGGACAAACAATACTTGTTTTTTGCCCTAGAGCTTCATACAGTCTCTCCTCTGATGAAACCATTGTTAGCAAAATTGCCAGATTTAATCGCTAACTGCCCGGTTAAATAGGAACCGGCCAGACCGGTTCCGGCTTTGGACGGTTAGGGTGATCAACCGGTATTTAAAAAAAAAAAATCAAAAAGATGTATATAAATTCTCAAAAGTAAAGAATTTGATTTGGAATATATTTTTAAATATTCTTTATGTTATGGTAAAGATTAAAAATTGTTTTTGTCATTAAAACTTACTTTTATATTTTTCCATCTTTTTTAAAAAATTTTAAAAATAGCAATGGGAAAATATAAAATGGGTAAAAATCTGTTTTTTTCATTAATTTTCAACTTTATTTTAATGTGTTTTGTTTTAATCATTCTTTATATGCTTTTCATATTTTAGTATTTTTTTTATTTGTATTTTTTTTTTTTTTTTTCCAACACTTTTTTTAGCGCCCAAGATTTGCCCGGTTAGAGCAGTTGAATCGACCGGTTTATTGGTTAGGCCGGTTGAACTGCTTTCAGGCTCATGTTTAGTTAACCGTTTCGGTTCGATTTTATGAACACGGGTTGAAATCGTGTGTGTAGAGTCTAAAGGGACTATCTTCGCAAAGAAAATTTGGAGCATATGTAGTAGGAAATATCTTCCATAAGTAACTCTTTTCATTTCCTTGAATTGTTATAAAAGGATTCTCTACAAAGAGATCGTTTACCTTTGGAAAAAGTTTATATAAGTTTGCAACCTTAAAAATATAGAATTACAGATGCATCTCAAAAATATATCGAAAAAGGTTGTTTTAATATTAAAAAACCCTCCAATTAATCATCTCAACATCGGGATGAAAAAATAAAAATTTGAGTCTAAGAAATTTTTCAAAATTTTTGTATGTTTATAGATCTACTTGATTTTAACTATTTTTGGAGTTTAAAATTTTATAATTAGATATGAAAATGCATTTCCAAATAATCATAAAAAAAATATACCAAAATTAAATGTTATGATAAAATTTAAAGGTGCGTTTTAATTGGATTGTTTAAAATTGCAATCTTATATAAACTACATTTTTTACTTTTTGTACAAAGAGGTTACAATTATTTTCACTCATTAGATGTCAAATCAAATGGCTTTGGGTGAGTCACAAAGTTCGAGAAATATTTTTGAGAACATTGTATATAATCAATGGCACTCTTACCACCACCCATTTTGAAATCTAATGAACTAATGATTGTGAACCCTAAACTCCAGTTATTAGCCCTAACATTTGAAAGATTTCAAGAGTGTGAGATAGTAATTATGATATTTTAGTTGGATCATAACAGGCATCGATTCTGAAGTACTTACAGAGCATAAGATTAGAAAAACAAAAAAAAAAAAAAATACAGAAAGCGTTTTAGAGCTTTCTTGGGGGTACAAAACCATCGTACGATTATATGCCCATATATTCTTTAGCTAATCACCATAGCAACATCACACAATGCATCAGCAAAGGCCAGACCCACTGTGTCCTTCCATGTAGCATCTTGATTATCTTCTATGCCTTTTTTTTTTTCCGGGAGAATGTCACTAATTTCTCATTAGATACCTAAGTACAACAGAAGGATCAATAAAATGAGCAATTAAATCTATGAATGTGTTCCTGGTATATGTCCTCCTCTTCATTTGCCACCTCCTTATATGCAGGCCCACATGAAACATGCATTCTGCCCTATAGGTTGCATTCTACCCTATAGGTCCGTTTGGTTCGCATCAAATAGTTTGACAGAAAAATGTTTATTGAAAAATATTTACATATACAAAGAGTCTAGAGGGAATTAATTACTTAAGCCTGGTTTTTCCAATGTTTGGTAAACATACTTGAAAACAGGCAAAGAGAGAAACACAAGGACAAACAAACAAGCAACTATAAAAAGGTTGCAAGGATGCTTAGGAATTTGAGATAGTTTATACAAGATAGTTTTTTTATATAAAAATTTTGAGATAGTTTATCTTTACAAAAACTTAGAAATGGGTTTCTTTTTCTAGAAATTTTGAGATGGTTCTCTCTCTAAGATTTAAAATTTGATATAATTTTTATCTAAATATTTCAAGATAGTTTTTCTATCTAAAATTTGAGATAGTTTCTCTCTTTAAAATTTTGATATAGTTTATTTTCCTAGAACTTGAGATAGTTTCTCTCTCTAAAACTTAAATTTGAGAAAGTTTCTCTCTAAAAATTTCAGATAGCTTCTCTCTCTTAAAATTTTAAATTTGAGATATCTTCTCCATCTAAAAACTTTGAGATAGTTTCTCTCACTAAAAACTTTAAGATAGTTTCTCTTAAAAATTTTTGAGATAGTTTCTCTTTCTAAAATTTAAAGATAGTTTCTATCTCTAAAACTTGGAATTTGATAAAATTTCTCTTTCTAAAATTTTTCATAAAGTCTCTCTCTAAAACTTAAAATTTGAGATATTTTTTTCCTTTAAAATTTTGAGATAGTTTCTCTCTCTAAAACTTAAATTTTAGAATAGTTTAATGTAGGTCTAATAGAAGAAGAACCATACATGTGTATCCTCTATTTTCATATGGAAAAAATTCTAGGGATTATTTTACGACCCTGAATACCTTAGATATGAAACTAATAAAACATTTACTTCCAGGACTATGCTCATTTTTGGCACCAGCTGAATTAATTTATAGCACATTTGGTTCGCATGAAAATATTTTTCAAAAAATATTTTACATGAAAAAATTATCTCTTGTAGTTAAGTATGGGAATATTTTTACATCAATTAGTTGTTAGTTGGTGTGAAAAGATGCACTAATTAGTATGAAAATATTATCACACTTAATCACATGAGATAATTTTTTATGTAAAAATGTTTTATAGAAAATATTTTCATGCAAACCAAACATGCAGAGAATAACCTTCAACAATAGCCTATGACCTCAAATGCTTAGCTTCTATGATCCTTAAACCATGTAAAATTCCTTTGATCTAATCCTCTTTGGCTATAATTAAACCACATGGACTCGAGAAGGTTTTGTATGTGGAAGCTCTAAACCCGATGGGTTGATTTTTGACAAATAAAGTAAGAGAAAAAAGAATTAAAAAAAAAAAACAAGCAACAAAAATAGAGTAGAAAATAAAAATAAAAACATCAGGATTTATGTGGTTCGTCACAGATATGACTACATCTACGGGTATGGTAAACTGAAATCCACTATACCAATAAAAATTAAATCAAAGATTTTGGAATAAACCTCGACAAAAACCCAAATCGAGCAAACCCCTTTTTAAACCACTCTTCATTCCTCTCTTTACTTCTAGTAACCATCGTCAACAACACCAAATACAGATGCGAGAGCAACGAAAAATTGACTTTCTCTCTAACTAAAAGGAGATATAACCAAAAATCTTTATGAGAACCACTTCTCTACAAAAAACCAACTTCTCACTTTGCAGGAGTCTTCAGGAGACACCATCAATGTTTCTCTTCATAGGAAACTCTATTCTCTAAAAAGAAATTGCATCTTATGTATAGGAGGTCTTGCCCCCCTCTCTCTCTACAGGAACCACCATTCCCTTATGGTGAACCAAATAGGGTAGACAAATTTTTTGCACTTTCATCCCATGTATATAAGATTAGGAGTCTATACTAAATAGAAAACTTCATATAGATCTTACATATATCTCAAAAGACCAAGAGATATATCCAAGAGTCTTAATCCTTTTTAAATTTATATTTCTTTTAGGAAACTAATCAATATCATTCTCAATTCTATATAATATAAAAATATCTCAATCCCACATAATATGGATCAATCTCAATCAATCCCATAAAATATGGATTTCTTTATGTAAGTGATTTTGGATAGTATCAAATCCAACAATCTCCACCTTGATATCAAAATCAGATGCTCACTTTGCCAACATCCATCGGATAGCTTCATAAATTATTTTTCTTTTACTAAATAAATTTCTTCATCATTCATGCTGAAAAATAGCGTTTCCATCAAATTTCTCCACTTCGAACCTTGCATTCAAAACCTTTATTGTATTATCAAAAACCTCAAACCATGGCTTTGATACCACTTGTAGTGCTCTGATACCACTTGTTGTATGTGGAAGCTCTAAACCCGATGGGTTGATTTTTGACAAATAAAGTACGAAAAAAAAAGACCGACAAAAAAAAAAAAAACAATAAGCAACAAAAATAAAGCATGAAATAAATAACACAAAAAGAACACTAAGATTTACGTGGTTCGTCACATATGTAACTACATCCACGGATCCGGCAAACTAAAATCTACTATACCAATGAAAGTTTCATGAAAAATTGTGGAACAAACCTCGACAAAAACCCAAGTCGAGCAAAAACCGCTATCCCTTCCTTCTCTTTACTTCTAGTAACCATTATCGACAACACCAAATAGAGACGCGAGAGGAACGATAAATTAATTTTTTCTCTAACTAAAAGAGGAAACAACCCAAATATTTTATGAGAACCAATTCTCTACAAAAAACCAACATCTCACTCTGCAGGAATCTTCAGAAGACATCATCAATGTTTCTCTTTATAGGAAGATCTCTTCTCTAAGAGGAAATTGCAACTTATGTACAGGAAGCTTTGCTCTCCTCTCTCTAGATGAACCATCATTCCCATATGATGATCCAAATAGGACACACAAATTTTCTGCATTTTTATCATATATATATAAAAGATTAGAAGTCCATACTAAATAGAATTAGATCTCGAAAAACCACTACATTCATTTCTCATAGTCGACCAATTCATTGTGATGTCCATTCTCCCCATTTGCTTACAAAGAAAACACACATTTCCCACGACATGTTTCCTTTTTTTAAGAGAATATGCAGTAAGTTCTTATAAAAGTTTAGAAGCCACAAAAGTACCTGCACTTTATGTGGAACGGGTCATTTTCAAATTTTCACAACTTACGTCGTACCCCATCTATCTATCACGAACAACAATATATAAATAGAATTTTTATCGAAAACTCACCATCTGATTGAGCTTCCAAGATTGTTTTGTTGTCCCAATTAGACTGAAATAAAAGTTTTCTAATATTTGCATTAACTTGGCAAATTGGGAGAGCACTATGCCTGGGAGCATATTGTATCTACAACGATATATTTAGCTCACATCCGGATATTATATAACTAATCTTAAAAATAAATAGGAAAATTGAACTTATCGATTCATTCAACAATTTTTAATGCCCAAACAGACTTTTATCTCCTCTTCCAACTAGGATCCTTACATATCTTTCCAAGAAAGGTCAGCAGTGATGTGCTATACCATGTTGGCCTTCGTACTTGCCAACAAGTCAGAATTGTGGTCCCTCTCAAATCTGGATTCCCCAAAATATTTTCCTTAGAAACAATTGCTGGGAAAACAAATTTATAGTTAATTAATATATTTCAGACATATGATGGTAGAAAAGCAATCCAACACAAATTTATAGTTATTAATATGTTTCAGACATATGATGGTAGAAAAGCACTAACCTGAATGTTTGGTTTGCGTGAAAATATTTTCTTAAAAACATTTTCATATGAAAAAATTCTCTCATGCGGTAAAATGTGGGATTATTTTTACATCAATTAGTTGCCAATTGGTGTGAAAAGATGCACTAAGACCAATTGGTACGAAAATACTCTCACACTTAATTGCATGAGAGAATTTTTATGTGTAAATGTTTTCTAGAAAATATTTTCACCCAAACCAAATGTGCCAGATCTGTGTTTAAAAGCATTTGTTAAGAACAAAACATAGGCGTAAATTCATTCTTTCATACACCAAATATAAGAAATGGAGTTGTATGCGATACTAACTCTTTTTTTTTGGATACAAGGAAGTCATAGTCATTTCTTGCAGTCATATGTAGAATCGGTTGGTTAAAAGTGAGCAAAAAAATACGAGAAAATTCATTTAAACTTACACCAATAAATAGCCTAATTTTACATTTAATTACTAAACGTGTTTGTAATCTTCTTGCCCAAATAGTAACCTTTTTCATTAGAAAATAAACCTTAAAAGTAAAAGAGAAAGAAGGTATCTAATGCTTCAACCAAATTGGGCACAAGTTCAATGATCCTGATAAAAAGCAAGAACCTGTACACGACAAAACCCCAAGAGTAGGAGCCTCTCTCAATATAGAAAATAAAGTGGCAAGCTGGCTGGACGGTCGAGATTCTCCCACTTATGTTGTTTTTTTCTAAAACTATTTGCCACTCAAAAATAATAGTTATAATAATGGAAGAAAGGAGCCCAAGTGGGCCTTGCTACTCATCCAAGAGACATTTTCTGGTCGAATGTATTCCTTAGGTACAACCTCAACAAAGAGTAATGGAGGAAGGTACTCTCTCTCTCTCTCTCATGCTTTTAAAGAAATTTCGAGTCCCACCACCTCAAGTCCTCTATAAATTGCACACATGCTCTCCTCGTCATTGACTAATCTCATATGGCTCGCTTTGTACCCATCTTGGCTACGTCTCTCCTTGCTCTTCTGCTCCTTTTTGAGTTCGGATCAGCACTAGAACCGCAAGCGGTATCTATCTACAACCATCAAAACCCAACTCTAGGGGTGGAAATGGGCCGGGTGGCCCGACCCGGCCAGCTTGGCCCTAAAAAACTAGGGCTTGGACCATGAAAGAAAAGCTGAAGCTGGGCTAGGGCCAGGCAACCATGGCATGAGAGCAGGGCCGTCCGGCCGGGCCTGGTCCCCTCCCAATAGGCAAAGGGTGGAGTCAAGGCCTTTTTGGCCTGATCAAGGGCCCGGCCAGGCCTGGGCCTGCCCTATGGGGACTAGAGCCCAAGGCGGCCCTGCCCAGGCCCTGGCCCTGCCTGTTACAATCCCTACCCAATTCCTCTTTGTGCCTTCAACACATGGAGGTTTCCTCCTCCTATCAAATCTATCGTCATCACATATCAAATGGCTTATAATAGAAAGAGATTCATCAAAATTTGAGCATCGAAAGTCTGATGGTCCTATGTTTTTATATGTTTTGTAGGTGCCTGAAGGCGCCCTCCCCAAAGGCACCATGGGTAATAATGCTACTATTTCTTGATGAACTAATAACTAAACTACTGTTTCCTAATTTATTTCAATGTTTCTAAGCAGTTTTGTGTCTCTTCTTTTGTAGATTGTGGAAAAGCATGCACCGGCAGGTGCAGATTATCGTCGAGGCCACACCTTTGCAAGAGGGCTTGTGGGACATGTTGTGCAAGGTGTAGCTGTGTGCCTTCGGGGACCGATGGAAATGCAAAAATGTGCCCATGTTATTATAACATGAAGACTCATGGCAACAAACCCAAGTGCCCTTAAGCCATAACAGAGTGCTTCTAGTTGCCACTAAACATGGGCTTCCCTTTCTTCTCTCTTCATTCACTAGATAGGCCAGTCTATGTACTTGTGAGTAGATTTAGAACGTTCATACTGTAGAAATAAGCGTTCTCCTCCCTCTAGCTTTAGAGGGAGATGTTTCCATGTAGCATCGTTCAATGCAGAATGTTGTTTGCAACTAAAAGAATCGGAGAAATTCATTTCCACTACAAGGGGGGATAACAACATTCCTTGAGAAACAGTGGACTAATTTAATTGAGAGAGAGAGATTTAGTTGAGTTTAATTGAGAGAGTTAGTGAGGGAAATAAAAACAAATATAATTGGGGGAGAGAGAGAGTCACGTAAGGGAATACAAATAAATTACAATTTCTCTCTACACCCTTTTTAATATAAGTGGTCCCTCACTTTCAAGGGGTCATATTTATCTAATAGTCAATGACTCTCAAGATATTTTGAACTTTTTGAGGTTATCCAAATATTTATCTCGTTCTTATATCTCCTTATCTCATTAATTAAAAGCCATAAGATTTTCAAAATACCCTCTCACCCATTAAAAGGTGGGACCCAACTAAAAATCAACATCTTCCGCTCGTCCCTCAATAGATGGGAACATGTCAGGATATGAGAACTTCTCCCATACGCTCTATGGGGAAATGAACCGTGAGTTCTTAAGAAGCGACTACATCTCTACAGAGAGAACCATATTAAATTTTTCATCAAAAATTAAAATATAAATTGGAATTGGTAGCCTTGATTTTAAAATTTATTACCGAATTTTAAAATTCATAATGATTTTTTTTTTTGTTTTTTGGCGAATATCATAAACTTTATTAATGAAAATACTTAGAGCGAGATATTACATTGTCAGTAACATAAAGAGAAGATAAAGATACCCTGAGACATGCATAAGAATCTACCTCAGAGTTAGCCTCCCAATAAACATGTTGAAAAGATAAGGATAAAGATTCTGATAAATACAAGATCTGAAACAACATCGTTCTCAAATCCCAAGGAATCCTCAACTCTTTATTGCACCGCCTGATCACATTCAGCGAATCCCCTTCTAACACACAGTTCACTCTTAACCCCTTATGTGCAAAAAGCTTTCAACCTATCAATAGAGAATCTCAGCGTGGTTAGCAGTGGCCCTGCCAACAGGGCCTGCATACTATAAAATCCTATTACCATGCCAATCTCTAACTACTCTACCAATACTTGCAGGACCCGGGTTTCCAACTGAACTCCCGTCAAAATTTAATTTAAAGCATCCATACGGGGGATTCACCCAAACGCTTCTTGGCCTACAACTTACCACCCCCAATTTAAAGAGATTGAAGAGATTTAACAAAATATCCGGAGCTGAGATCCCCCTACCTTCTTTAGTAATTGCCATCCAACACCAGATAGTGTGTTGAATAGTGCTCAAAACTCTATCAAGAGGACTGGCCTCCCCATCAAAGATTCTACAGTTTCTTTCTTTCCACACTTCCCATAAAATTGACCCTCTTACAATCATCGACAAAGCACAACCCACTTTAAGTAGATCTTAAAATGCAAGCTGGGAGATAATCCCCAAAACCGTCTCTGGCATGGCAATATGTATTCTTAACTAAGCAAGAGACCAAAACTAAATCCTAGTCACAAAGGGGAAATGAATCAAAAGATGAAACACATACTCTCCATTTGACTAGCACATTAAGTAAATGTTAGGCAAGATCCTACCCATTTTAATCAAATTATCAACTGTCAAAATCTTATTTTGGGTTACAAGCCAAATAAAAATCAGAATCTTAAAAGGGATCGGCCATTTCCACACTTGTACAACTCCTGAAATAGTCTATCTCGTATGCTTATGAAAGAGCAACTGATTCATGGATTTGACAGTGAATTGCCCATTCTTCTCCACCTCCGAAACTATCTCATCCTCAGCAACTGGTGGCAAAGATATCTGATTCAACTCTAGCAGGAGCTGGGAAATCCTAGTAATAACCGCATCCTCAACCCTATTATAAGGAAATGTAATATTTCAGAAGATTTGTTCTTCATTTCTTTCCACCATACCAGCCACTTTTGCATAAGGAAGTTGGACTTTTTAAAAAATATCTGGATAAGAGTCTTTCAAAGCCCTATCCCCAGACCACTTATGTTCCCAAAATGCCACATTATCCCCATTACCCACGCACCATCTAACATTATTCTCCACCATCGATTTACAGAGATAAATGGCCTTCCAACAATTTGACCCATTAAGATTTCTTATACTACAACCAATCCACAACCCATGTTTATCTTGACCATATTCGAGGCCAACACTTGACACCATAATTGGTCCTTAAAGTGTAAGTTTATCCACCACCATTTACACAGTAAAGCTTTATTAACCAAATAAATTTTCCTAATAGCCAATCCTCATTTACTTTTAGGTGTACAAACTCTATCCCATCTCAGAAGATAATATTTCCTAGCATCATCCTCAGAGCCCCATAAGAAGTTTATCATCACGGTTTCAATCCTTTTAACAACTGATCTAGGCATTTGAAACAAGACATCTGATAAACAGGTAAGTTATCCATACATGATTGTATTAGTGTTATGTTTTCCCCAATAGATAAAACCTTAGGCTTCCGCAAGTCTAATTTAAATTGAGCACTCTATACCACCTTGTCCCAAGATGAAACTGACAGCCTCTTATTAGAAAGGGAAAGCCCTAAATAGGTGTTTGGGAAAGAATCCAATTTACAACCTAAAGCACTGGCTAACTCTCTTCATAAGGGTTTCCCACAATTATCTCTTATCAGCATGGTTTTACTTAGATTAACCTTAATACCTATTACCACCTCACAACATTAGAGAAATCATCCAATATGACAGACATGTGACAGATGTTTCGCAAAACAAAAAGTATCATCAGTATATTAAAAATGAAAAATAGGAGGACCGTGTGATGCCACTTTGAAGCTAGTGAAATTGTCCCTCCTTTCAACATTCGAGATCATAAAACTAAAACATTCAGCATAAATAGTGAAAATAAATGGGGATAGGGGGTCCCTTTGGCACAGCCCTTTAGAGGCTCTAAAAAAGCCTTTAGGGCTTCCCTAATACAGATAGTAAAGTGAGCAGAAGAAAAGCATCTATAGATCCAGTTTCTCCATATATCTCCAAAACCTTTTCTCTTCATAACTTCCATCAAAATACACCATTCTACTATATCGTATGCTTTTTTTATATCCAACTTAAGCACTACTCCAAGTTCTTGATTAGTAATACGAGAGTGAATACATCTTGGAGTTACTAAGACACTATTTGTGATCAACCTATTTTGAATAAAAGCAGATTGTGATCCAATGATAATGGACGGCAGCACCAGTTTCAACCTTTCTGCAAAGCACTTTAGCCACAATTTTGTACAAACTTCTCAGTAAACTAATAGGCATGATATCAAATAATTCCACAATGACCGATTTATTAGGAATTAAGGCAATGTAAGTAGAATTAACCCCTTTATAAATTTCTCCCCTCCACAAAAATTCCCTCACCATCAGAAGAAGCTCCTCACAAATAAGATTCCAAAATCCATCAAAAAGGACCAACGAAAAACAGTCTGCCCGGGGTTATATCACCCAACAATGAAAACACCGCCTTTTTTAACTCTTCCATGGAAATATCAGCTTCTAATCCCGAAATAAATTTTGGAAAAAGCATTTTAAAAGGAATTCCAGTCATTCTAGGGGCAAACTTAACTTCAGAAGAGAACTCATAAAATGGTCAATGACACTACCCTCCAAACCGTTTACATCATCCTCTGCTATTCTCAAAATAGAAAGATCATAAATATCATTTTGACGCATGTGTGTACTAGCTATGAAATGATAAAATTAGTATTATGATCACCTTCTTTCAACCATTTATTTCTGGATCTCCGTTTCCAATAGATTTCATCCAGTCTAAGAACCTCCTTAAAGGTTTTAAGTTTCTAATTCCTCTCAATGATCAACTCCTTTGTTAAGAACCAATGTTAAGCATATGCTGGTCTAAGAACTGAATTTTCATCAACACCTCATCTATCTTGCCCTTCAATTGATACTTATTATCTGACTTCCATTGAACCAATCTATGCTTGACATTCAACAATTTATTATGTAATTGGAAGTCCATCGATCCAAAGGTAACAAAATTTTTTCAAGTACTCTTAATAAGATCCACTACACCCTGCTCCTCCAACCAAGCAATTTCCATTCTAAAAGAGTCTCTCCCCTCCAATGTGATCCACGGTGCTTAAAATAATGACAATGTGGTTCGAAGAGAGTCTAGGAAGGGCTTTAATAGAGGTTAAAGGGAACCTTTCCAGCCACTCATTCTGCATCAGAAATCTATCAAGTTTTGAGAAGGACAAATTAATCACACTACTATTAAACCACTAAAAGCTGCATCCGAAATTGGAAGGTCCTCCAAAGCACCCCTCATGATGAAGGGTATTAAACCTTCTCATAGAGGAAGTAATAACAAACCCCCCCTCCCCAAAGGACTCCTCTGGCTATCTGACCAAATTAATGTATCCCTTTAAACAAATATGATAAACAAAACCCAAAACAAACTCTAAGAGTTCAGCAATAAAAGGCTCTTTTAAAGCCATAATAGAAGGACTATATGTATTTACAAGCCCCCACGAAAACCCCAGAAATAAACCATTAAAGAAAATAACCAAAATTTATCTTTCTTTATTACATCAAAATTTTGTAGGATCAAAGGGTCCCATAAAATCCATAAACCACCTGAAGCACCAATGGAGTCACCATCAAAATTAAGAACCCCAAATTTCTTTCACCCCAGCTACAGTTGGTCTAGGAAATTTGGTTTCTTGAAGGATCAAAACCACAGGCTTATACTTTCTAACTAAAAACAAAACATCGTTTTTGCGTCTAGGGTCCCCCAAACCCCTTATATTCCAACTAAGAATATACATTAAAATTTAGAGGAAGATGCACCTGGTTCATCCAGGCCCTAACCGATGTACAACTGCTCCAACATCAAAGCTTCGTCCAAAGCTGTTGAACCCTAGGAAGACGATAAAGTCAGAGAGGCACTACTAATCTCCAGCACTTCTGCATCATTCAAAGTTTGTTACAACAAAGAGGATCGGGTGCTCCATAATAGCCTCACCATCCACCGCACTAGCCTCTACAACA